AACAGAAGTTATTTCCATCAGATCTTCAGTGTTCAACTACCATTTTCAATTTTTTTCCCCCAGTATTTCATGGAGGTTAAAATGACTACACACCACATGTATTGCTATTTCTTTTTTTTTTTTTGTTGAGAGGGTGCATGTGATCAGCACAGGGCCAATCACCACTTTCCAGATAGAGGATCAGAGGTTATGCAGCCTCACAGGACAGTCAGGAGAATGAAAATTTATCCTACAAGCTTTAATCAGCGTTTGGCTGGACACTGATAGAAGTCACAAGACTGCTATATATGGCTGATGAAACAAGGTATTTAGCAGTTTATATTTACTAAACAAAATTGTATTTCCATGCTCTGTAACGCAACAAAGAAGCTAAGGTGAGAAAACACAAAAAGGAGTCTAAAGCTCACCATGCTGGCTGGATAGAAGAATACATATAAAACCTATTTAATAATTTGTATTTGTCTGAGAAAATAAATCTTTTTACATAATAATGTAGTGGTTATCACAACTAAGAAAAAAAAAAAATGCATGTTATGCATTCCTTTAAATATAAGGAACTACACCTCCAATTATAAAATTAAATTTTTTTTTTCCAGGCATCTTTTATAGTCTGTTGAATGTTGAGGTTTTGGAACTCTAATATAAAATATTTTTCAGTACACATTTTATTATTAAATTGAACTATTTTAATAATCCAATGAATGTTCCACCATAGAAATACAAAGGGAGTTGAGAATTTAAATGTAAATAAGTAATATTTCCACAATCTGTTACTGGGCAAAAGCTGATTAAATATGTTGAAGGATTTAAGCGCATTATGAGAATGTATTATGAAAATGACTGTATTTAAGATTTTGTTCAAGAAAAAAAATGTTTCTAAGACCTATAGAGATTTGTGTTTACAGTATATATATTTCCCTATTGCCTATAAGGGAATATATTTAAATGCAATTTATTACTTGACTTTGATGAGAGGATTGTTTTAGGTTTTGAATGCTCCAAAACAATTTCTAAACATACATTTTCAACATGTAGTCTGTCTAAGCAGCCTTTAAAGTATTCGTGTTAAACATTCTTAAAGAGGAGCTCCAGGCTCCCCCCCAAAAAAATTAAAAAGTCAGCAGCTACAAATACTGACGCTGATGACTTTTAATACAAGGACACTTATCTGGCCAGGGGTCCAGCGCCATCGTCACCTGAGCTAGTTCTTCACAAGCCTCTGGGTTTCCAGTGCTGGCATTGCAAGTAAGGGAAACCGGAAGCGAAGCCTTGCAGCTTCACAGACTGTTTCCTACTGTGCCTGTGACGTGCCCCAGAAGACTGCGGGGGGGATGAACTGAGCCGGAAGCGGGAGCAGGTTACCTGCCAAAACCAGGTACCCACATTCCACCTTCCCTAAAAAGTGCCAAATGTGACATTGTTGGTGGGTGGGCGCACAGAGAAGCATCTTAGCCACAGCTGGGACAAAAAAAAAGCTTCTTGCGATGAAAAATCCAAGAGCAATATAACCCCCCCATAGCGTAAAGCCAAGAAAGCTGCGTAGTGTCCAATGGCTACGACATGAAGGTGGTTTCAGGAGAGTGCACTCATTCAAGTCCATGAGACATTAAAATGCATGTGAACCCCAACAATTCGTTTGGCTTATTTTCTGCCTTTTGTATTTTGTCACTGAAAGTTGTTTTTATACCTGCCTGTAAAAAGGGTTAACAAACCCACAACAGTAAAATCAGTCTATAAATGAAGTAAAGCATGCTTGTTATGCTCACTGTGGAACCTAAAGGGTTAATCCTCTGGATTGTGTAAAAAGGCTGTTTGATCCTTTCTTCTCTGCCCCTCCTCTTGTTGAAATGACCACCTGATACAGACTGAACCAGTGGTCACATGCACATGCTCAGTTTGGTGTGCATTGCTAGAGAGGTTTTTTTTTTTTTTTTCTTGGGGGAGTGCATGTGATCAGCAAAGGGCCAATCAGCACTGTCAGACAGAGGGTCAAGGGTTTCACATCCTCCTAGAGCAGAAAGAAAAAAAACTCATCCTACAAGCTTTAACCAGTGCTCTGCTGAAGTCACAAGACTACTCTAACTGCTGATGAGAAAAGGCAATTAGCAGTTTATATATACTAAAATAATTGCATTTCCATGTTGTGTGTACTGTGGGAGACCAGATATAGTGAATGTAGGGTCCTGGGTTTAGTAACACTAAGTGAAAAAAAAGAATTATGGATCATGTCAAATTCAGAGTTTTCTGTGCACATATCTCAAGGAGTCCTCCAGCTGCTAATCCTGCACTACAGAACAATTACACTCTATGGAGAAGAATTGGAGGAATTCACTGCATTGCATTACTGCTGATCCTTCATTTGAATGGGCCCCAAAGCAAAATAAGTTGCTCCTACTCAATTTTTATTCACACAGCACATGTTGCTGTGTGCTGCAATAAAACTGCATGTATTACTACAGCACATGTACAAACAGTTATTGGCACAGGTAGCGCATTGATTTTAATGAGTTGGTTGAATCCTAGATTTTTCACTGAGATAGAGCAATGTAGTATGTATAAAACCATTACGTAGGTACATTGTATGCTCAAGAAACTGTATGTGTAATTGTAATGAGCAAATATGGATGCCCCCAAGTCCATTTATAATTACACATTTTACACGGAAACAATGTTTTTCAAACATTACTATATATTTTTCAAACATATATATATATATATATATATATATATATATATATATATATATATATACACACACATACATACACACACAGTGAGGAACAGAAGTATTTGAACACCCTGCGATTTTGCAAGTTCTCCCACTTAGAAATCATGGAGGAGTCTGAAATTCAGATTGTAGGTGCATTCCCACTTTGAGAGACAGAATTTAAAAAAAAAAAAAAAAAATCAGGAAATCACATTGTATGATTTTTAAAGAATTTATTTGTCTTGCAATGCTGAACATAAGTATTTGAACGCCTAAGAAAAAGCAAGAATTCTGGCTCTCAAAGACCTGTTACTGTGCCTTTAAAAAGTCCACCTCTACTCCACTCACTAATCTAACTTAGTAGCACCTGTCTGAGCTCTTTAAAGACACCTGTCAACCCCCACAGTCAGTCAGATGCCAACTACTACCATAGGCAAGACCAAAGAGCTGTCAAAAGACACCAGACACAAAATTGTGGACCTCCACAAGGCTGGAAAGGGCTACGGGGCAATTGCCAAGCAGCTTGGTGAAAATAGATCAACTGTTGGAGCAATTGTTAGAAAATGGAAGAGGCTAAAGACAACTGTCAGTCTCCCTCGGACTGGGGCTCCATGCAAGATCTCACCTCGTGGGGTATCACTGATAAGAAAGGTGAGGAATCAGCCCAGAACTACAAGGGAGGAGCTGGTGAATGACATGAAGAGAGCTGGGGCCACAGTTTCAAAGGTCACTGTCGGTAGAACACTACGTCGTCATGGTTTCAAATCATTCATTGCACGGAAGGTTCCCCTGCTCAAGTCATCATATGTCCAGGCCCGTCTGAAGTTTGCCAATGACCATCTGGATGATCCAGAGGAGGCATGGGAGAAATTCATGTGGTCAGATGAGACCAAAGTAGAACTTTTTGGTCTAAACTTCACTCGTCGTGTTTGGAGGAAAAAGAAGGATGAGTTGCATCCCAAGAACACCATCCCTACTGTGAAGCATGGGGGTGGTAACATCATGCTTTGGGGGTGCTTTTCTGCGAAGGGACAGGACGACTGCACTGTATTAAGGAGAGGATGAATGGGGCCATTTATTGTGAGATTTTGACCAACAACCTCCTTCCCTCAGTCAGACCATTGAAGATGGGTCGTGGCTGGGTCTTCCAACATGACCCGAAGCACACAGCCAGGATAACCAAGGAGTGGCTCCTTGAGAAATATATCAAGGCTCTGGAGTGTCCTAGCCAGTCTCCAGACCCAAATCCAATAGAACATCTTTGGAGGGAGCTGAAACTCCGTGTTGCTCAGCGACAGCCCCGAAACCTGACAGATCTAGAGGAGATCTGTGTGGAGGAGTGGGCCAAAATCCCTGTTGTAGTGTGTGCAAACCTGGTCAAGAACTACAGGAAACGTTTGACCTCTGTAATTGCAAACAAAGGCTTCTGTACCAAATATTAACACTGATTTTCTCAGGTGTTCAAATACTTATGTTCAGCAGTGCAAGGCAAATAAATTCTTTAAAAATCATACAATGTGATTTTCCTGAAATTTTTTTTTTTTTTTTTTAATTCTGTCTTTCAGAGTGGGAATGCACCTACAATGTGAATTTCAGACCCCTCCATGATTTCTAAGTGGGAGAACTTGCAAAATCGCAGGGTGTTCAAATACTTCTGTTCCTCACTGTGTGTATATATATTTATTTATTTAGGTATTCTTTGCATAAAATAGATCTCTTTTACAAGCAAATCTAAAAAAATAAAAATTGACAAGACTCTAAAATTAGTCACATGTTTGCACCTCTCAGGAATAGCCAGGTGCATGAATTTTATGTCATGGAGTCTGCAGTCTTTTTGCAGTCATCGCTGACAGATGAACCTGATAATTCAAAATCAATAATGAGATCACTCTACCAAAGTAGTCAAATCATACAAAATTACAAGTAAAATCTACCTTACCATCACAAACATTACACTCTGTATGTCCTTGTACAGCTATGAGCACAGAAGAAAAGCTTCTTATACTTTTAATTATGTGTTTTATCAAATGAAATCTACAGTATGTACATAAATACATGCCTTTACCAGCATACAAATATGGTTTTGCCACTCCAGAGGTAGCACTTTCCAAAAAAAAAAAACGGTTTACCTTTTTTTTTTCTATTTTTATTAAATATTTACTTGTGCAGTTTGGATGTTGTGCCGAAATTATGCATTGAAATACTCATTTGACATATCCACATTAGCACACCCCAGAATTCCCCTTATGAAGTCAATTCTGCTTCTCAGAACCATTCATTAAAACCCAATTACCTTTCTGGGTTTGAGTGCACTCTCCTCAGATGTACACGAATCTACAGCATCCCTTGTGTCCACCTCACTTTCCTCTTTACTTTCAAGCTCATCCTCACTGGTTATTGGCCCATTTTCACACATAGGGGTTTTGAAATCATCATCAGGTAATGGAGGATAGCTATATTTAAATGGATCCTAAAATAAAAAATGTAATATACAGTAAATATATTTATAAGTAAATACCAGTTTGAAAGAAATAGGTGAACCAGTCACAGGTTAAAAACAAAACAAAAAACACAATATCACCAGTTCTGAAGGACCGGCATAACAGTTAGGGGCCAACACAATATCACTTGCCACTGCAACTTTCGTTTAATTTATAAATGCAGAGCATAGTTTGGAAACTGTATAATTCGTCATAGCACTTTGAGTAATTTAACCACCTCCTGACCATGCTATAGCCGAACGACGGCTACACTGTGGCGCCCTGTGATTGCTGAGTACTTCGAACACAGCTGATCACAGATCGAGGTAAAAGGTCAATTACAGTGGCTCTTTACCATGTGATCACCTGTGTCCAATCACAGCTGATCATAGGTAAAAACAAACTTGAGGATTATCGGACTTCCCTGAGGAAGTCACGTGTTACCGTGACGCAACGCGTGGGAACGCGAAGAGGATTCTGGGAGCGCGGTGACGTCATTTCCGGCGTGGCGGCCACATTTGAAACCCCTGTATATATATATACCCATGCAGGAGATTCATAGCATGGGGTACTGAAGGCTTGTTACAAGACTATTTTAAATGTGAGTGGGCAATTTTTACTACATGTCTACTGATTTAATAAACAGGATTACACTATGTGAGTTTTTGTTTGCATATGAACCGAGGAGGAGATCGCTGTTAGAGTGTAAGAGGCGGGGAAGGTCCTGGTGAGTCATCTAAAGGGTGTCCTGTTGTTGAGCGAGCTGACCCTGTGGGGTTTTAGCAAGGAGGTGAGGAGCCATCACGGCCAAAGTTTGGATTCACACAGTGTGGACACGTGTGACACATGCATGAAGATTGCTAGTTCTTTTGATGCATTTGGACACTTTATTTTATTTATTTGAGATTTATCATTATTTGCAATAGATGATTGGAGTGATTTTTGCACTTTATTCTAATTTTGATTGCACTTTATTCTCACTTTGAAGCACATCGTTTGCACAATTTTTGCTTATGCGCATATTTGTATATGCACTATTCTTACACATATGTTTAGTAGTTTGTGTTATTATGTAGAGCATTTTTAGCTAAGTGTGCACTCTATTTTAATTTTATTTATATTTATTTTAATCAGTTTAGGGACAGCGCTGCACTTTATATTTATATCGACATTTCCTGTTATCAGCACTGTCACTGTGTGAGGAAAGAAGAGCTGACAATCCCAACAGCACACATTTACACTGATCATCAGTGCCCATCAATGCCCATCAGTGCAGCCTCATCAGTGAACAATCAGTGAAAAAAATACTTATTTGCAGAATTTTATAACAAAGAAATTTTTTTTTCTTAAAAACTTTTGGTCTTTATTCATTTGTTGAACAAAAATGTAAAAACCCAGTGGTGATTAAAATACCACCAAAAAAAAAAGCACGGTCTATGATAAAAATTTCTTTTGGGTACAGTGTCACATGACCGTGCAATTATCAAAGTGTGACAGTGCCAAAAGTGAAAATTGGCCTGGGTAGGAAGGGGGTGAAAGTGCCCAGTATTGAAGTGGTTAAAAAAATGTAAGGGGTTTTCTTTGTTTTATTTGAGTCCCACCACGAGGAAAGTGTAAAATGCATTTGCAATGCAAAACCTGTGCTTTATAAATATGCTGGAGTACCGTATTTTCCGGCGTATAAGACGACTGGGCGTATAAGACGACCCTCTACTTTTCCTGTTAAAATATAGGGTTTGAGCTATACTCGCCGTATAAGACTACCCCTCTTCCAACGCACACCAAATAAAAATGAAAAAAACATCAGATTTGATTTCAATATGGTATGCTATTTCAGTATGGTATTCCAATGATGAGGCACTACTCCTCCCACTGACACCAATGATGGGGCACTATTTCATCCACTGACACCAATGATGGGGCACTATTCCTCCCACTGACTAATGATGGGGCACTATTCCTCCCACTGACACCAATGATGGTGCCCCATCATTAGTCAGTGGGAGGAATAGTGCCCCATCATTAGTCAGTGGGAGGAATAGTGCCCCATCATTGGTGTCAGTGGGAAGAATCGTGCCCCATCATTGGTGTCAGTGGGAGGAATAGTGCCCCATCATTGGTGTCAGTGGGAGGAATAGTGCCCCATCATTGGTATCAGTGGGAGGAATAGTGCCCCATCATTGGTATCAGTGGGAGGAATAGCGCCCCATCATTGGTGTCAGTGGGAGGAATAGCGCCCCATCATTGGTATCAGTGGCAGGAATAGCGCCCCATCATTGGTATCAGTGGCAGGAATTGCGCCCCATCATTGGTGTCAGTGGGAGGAATTGCGCCCCATCATTGGTGTCAGTGGGAGGAATTGCGCCCCATCATTGGTGTCAGTGGGAGGAATAGTGCCCCATCATTGGTGTCAGTGGGAGGAATAGTGCCCCATCATTGGTGTCAGTGGGGAGGAGAAGTAGTGCCCCATCATTGGTATCAGTGGGGAGAATAGTGCCCCATCATTGGTGTCAGTGGGGAGGAGGAACAGTGCCTCATCGTTGGTGTCAGTGGGGGAGGAACAGTGCCTCATCGTTGGTGTCAGTGGGGGAGGAACAGTGCCTCATCGTTGGTGTCAGTGTGGAGGAGGAATAGTGGCCCATCGTTGGTGTCAGTGGGGGAGAGGAGCGGCTGCTCCTTCTTCCAGTTCGGTCGCTCGATTTACACGGGGCCGCTCGGCTCCGCCTCCTCGCCGGTGATTGGTCGCCTGTGTGCCCAATCACCGGTGAGGAGGCGGAGCCGAGCGGCTGCGTGACCATCGAGCGGCCGAACTGAAAGAAGGAGCAGCCGCGCTTCCTGGACCGGATCGTCGTGGGACCGGAGCCAGGTAAGGTACAGCAGCCCCTCTGCCCATCCCTGTACTTTGTGTCCGTTGGAGGAGGAGGGGGGGGGGGGGGCGGTGCCGCGCCGCCCCTCGAAAAAGTGCCGCCCTGACACCGGCTCGCACCGGCGTATAAGACGACCCCCGACTTTTCAGAAGATTTTCAGGGGTTGAAAAGTCGTCTTATATGCCGGAAAATACGGTATTTTTTTCCCTCCCAAAATAAGCAGAATGGCCATAGCTAGAACATACTACTGTTTTTTGTTTTTAAACAAAAGTCACACTTGGCTTTGTTTAAATTGGTATGTGTGTGATCTCCACATAAGTGGGCATCTTCCAGTACCTGCTTTGACCAAGGCCATACTGCTTCTGGATAACTTGGTCCTAAATGTATCATACATCTACGAGCAGTCAAAGGGAAACTGCAATTTTTTTTAGACATTCATTTAATTTTTGAGCGTAATCAACTTCTACTACTAATTGGTTATTTACTTTGTTGATTACATTCAAATCTCAACTCTGCAAAAATGTATTTGGTGTTGAATAAAGCTGGGAATGTCTGAGACCTCCATAATTTTTTTTTTTTGTCATCAGTGGCCCTGCTAAAGAAATTTCAGAACAAGGAAGAGTTAGAATCTCCGGCAAAGCTTTTTTTTTTTTTTTTTGAGGCTTGTTCCTTTCCCAGAAAAACCGCTCCCCCTAGCTTTTCAACAGACTTCACAGGGAACTGAAGTGATGAAAAATCTCCCCATTAGGAGAAATGAAAACAACCACACAAGTGCCTACTATATTTGGGTTAAGTTATTTTTTTTAAATAACTTGTGTGTATAATTTGTAAATTTAGTTGCATGTTGTGGGTCATTTATATGTACTTGTTTACATGTGCATGTCTCCGCTTGTGTAGAAACATGCAGTGACTTAATTGTTCTTCTTTCTCAGTGCTGACCATATCTTAACTGGGTGGAACATTTGGAAAATTTGGAAATTATATATTAAAAAGAATATGGAACTGAATGGAATCAAAACGTGAAAGTCTTTTTAACAACTGCTTTCCGGAATGGTAAAAGTTCATATAGTGTGCACAGCATGAATAAACAGATTTATAAAAGTTATTTTAGAAAGCTAATAAATTGTCATTCAGGAACATTCATGTTTTTAAATCCACAAAATGCATGTAAAGAAATGTGAAAAATGTATTAATTTCTTGAAATAAACACATTAAACCTTCAGTGAAAACCTTAATGAAGAAACATCCAGAGACAAGCAGCTCTCATACATACACATATATATATATATTCGTCACACAAAATTTGACACCCTCACCTCCCACACCTATTTATTGGCCATAGAGGATACATAGCGAGACAACAAAAAGTCAAGATTTACATTTAATTTCCATGTCGAAAAATCCCTGATTCTACTGATCAACACAATGTGCACTTTCCACTGGTTGTAACATATGCATTTTTTAAATCATATGATCAGTTTAAATTGCACGGGCTTGTCAAAATGTGATCTTTAAATTGAAACTTTTTTGGTTATTTAATAACATTGACATAAAATTCTGTACAATACTTACTGTTCCTCCCATATGTGGAAGTAAGTATTCAGCACTAATGTAGTCTTGAATTTCATTTCGGTTCACAAATTTCAGCATGTTTATGGCTTCTGGACCAAGCCAGCCTTTCACAATTTTAAAGGCAGCTAATAAAAAAAAAATGTCATTATTAATTTTATGAAAAGTAAAAATCGGCATTCCTGTCATACACACATCCTGAAATAACAGCAATAAAGCGTTACATTTATGATTATATTTTAGTTTTCATAGGCACTCTTCCTACTTTTTCTTCTTCTATAATGTATTTTGTTAACAACTGCAAAATGCCATGTATTAAACAGCCCTCAGCTTATTAACCTACAGTGAGCGCTAAGTGCCAAGGGAGTTCTGAACCAGAAGATTCACAAGTTTCATATAAGTGTAAGCTTCAGTGAAATGGATACCTATACAGCATGTCTATGATTGTCTCTAGTTTGCCCGGTCTTGATCTCCTATTATCCATACAACTTACTGAGATGGATAAATGAGAGGATATCTTTCCAATGTGAGGGAAATGTGACTTCAACAACAGTTCTTTGTCCTTTGTGCATGGCAAACATAGGCACTATTGAGAACCATGATTACCGCTGGGATTATTGAAGATAAAATGGTAATACTTGGCAAGATTAAACCCCCCCCTCAGGGGTTTCCCCCCCCCCCAGTCACCAAGGATGCCCAGTTGACTTTGTATACTCTTTGGTGTGGAAATGTCATGTGTATTGTATGTTACATTTAACTGCTTGCCATAAGTTCGCCTGTTATTTACCTTGCTTTGTTTTACTTCGGTATAATTTCAATAAATGCAACTGCTAAAAAAGAAGATTAAAACAAGCGATGCTTCTCATTCAAGCATTGCTTAAAACATTTGGAATGCATAGGGAATATCAAAAGGCAAATAACAAGCATTTCTGTGGTCAAAAGCTCTCATTATTGTATGCCAGAAGATTCAGTAAAATAGATACCTATAGAGCAGGTTTGTATACAAGCACAGCCATATGCAAATGGAAAATGTTGTCACAGACCTAAAGTATAACTACAGCCAAAACCTTTTTTTCTCATTTTGGGTTAAATCAACATTATTTTATCTGGTGTCTCATTAGGGAGATTTCCCTTCACTTCCTTTCTTACAGAGCCAACAGGAAGTGAAGATATCTTTCCAATGTGAGGGAAATCTACCCTTTGACAGTTGCTTCCATGACAAGTGTCCCCATTGAAAGATTTCACCTCTAATCCTTTTCTGGTGGCAATTAAAATGTTGGATTCCCCTCAGTTTCATTTATTATGCCACTGGTGATCAGGACAGCGACATCAATAGCAATACAAAACTGGACATTGTTTGCCAAGCATATGCTGCTAGTCTGTCCTAATCTCAGGGGTACAATGGAGATTGCCTGGGAAATTCGGACTTCGTTGATGCCTTATTCTCACTGCTCAGCCAAGGAAGAAGGTGCCGTTGATAGGTAATGGAATCAACATGATTGGACAAGCTCTTTTAGGATCCATACACACTGGCTTTAAAAACAAAAAAAAAAAAAAAAAAAAAAAAAAAAACACACAAAAAAAACTCGCTGCTTCTAGTGCTAATATTTTTGCCTGTAGAAGCTGCCATGTTATCCTATGTGTCCATGCACATTAGAACATTTAGAGGAATATCTTAAGCTCAGCGTTTAGAAGCAAATGAAAAATACATTTCTGCTTTGCGTTTTTGAAAGTTTTCTGGCAGAAAAAAAACAAACGCATAACGCACCTAAATGCTAGTGCAAAAAATGCTAAAACTTAGCAATTTGTTTTTCTGGCAAGGGCACTATCGTTTTTTAAGCCAGTGTGCATAGACCCTAATGAGCATGTTAAATATAAACATTTTTCCTTTACAGGTAACTTCTTTGATAAACTCAGAAACCAAATTGCACATTTCTATATATGATATTTAGGAACTAGAGGAAAGTCAGCAAGATCCTTTCTGAACAGCATATTGCATCCTATTATTGTCTGATCTTTTTCCTTATACATTTCTGTCACTCTGGAAGCCTTTAACAATAGTTTTTTGTCCTATGTGGATGGCAGATTACAGCTGGGATTAATGAAAGTAAAATGACAATACTTGGCAAGATTAAAATAAGCATTGCTTCCCATTCAAGCATTGATTGCAACATTTGGAATGCATAGGGAATATCAAAAGGCAGATAACGAGCATTTCTGTGGTCAAAAGTCCTCATTATTGTATGCCGATGTTTTCCAACATCTACAGATAAAGCCTCTGTGTGACCTGGTGGAAATCATTTACTCTCCTATGAAAGACAGAGAATAAAGACTTCACCATGTCTACATTGCTTCTGTTCTAGAGCTCTGCACAAACAGATGTTTCAAAGCCCATCGAAGGAGGGACAATTGCCTGTGGTCAGCTTTCCTTGACTGGTCAGCATACCACACCTTGTCAGGATGTAAAATTCTTAAAATAAAAAAAAAAAAAATTGCCAGGCAGATTACAAAAACTGAATGTTTTTGTTTCCTGTCTCTTTACTTTGTCTAGCCTGCAGCAAAAATGTAGCTATAAACTGGTTTATTACTACAGGAAACAATGATTCTTTCCTTTAGATGTTATAAGTGATCTTTTGCATCACAGTTACTTAAGCAGCCCTACACAAGTAGGCCGATATCCTCCTGCATGCACAGAGAAGGTTAACTGTTAATTCTGACTGAAGCATACTGTAAACCTGCTTTTTAACAAAATGTTAAATATAAACATAAAATTTCAGCATGAAAGAAACTCTAAAAACACATTTGTCAAGAAGATAAATACAGAACGTTCCTACTAAAGAAACCACAGTACTGGCAAATCAATATATAAAGAACTTTCCTTTAAAAAGCTTATTATAATTTATCTGTTACAAAAGCTTAGCCTCTCCTGGAAACCTTCAACAAATTCTGAACCCAGAAGATAAGAGAACTGCACTCACCATTCATTATCCATGGCATTTCAAAGATTACAATCTTTGCTGTGGAAGTATAAAAAGCAAATATTTAAAGAACATAGCAATTCAAACAATTTTTCTGTTAAGAATATAAAATAGGAGCATAAAAAAAAAAAAGCTGCAGAGAAAGCATGTTTTACTTGGAGCTAATTATATTTATGTTGGGGCCCAAGGATGGTTCTGGGACCCCAGGGTTTAGGATACCATTGTTCTAGAACTTCACAGATTTGGTTCCTAGTCAAACAAATATATGCAATAACCTGAAACGCCTCCACATGAGCTTGTGACTGGTCAACTTGATTTCAAGTATTTATGTATCCTCAACAAATGGCCTATTATCTTTAAAACAAGCCTTTACCTGCCTCTGTAGCTGCAAGCACAGTGGAGTAATTCATCCACAAATTTACAGCAAAATCACTGATGTTCCTAAAGTTTTTTTTTTTTTTTCTCACCAGCTTACTGTATTACCCCTTCCAGCAGTGACTCAGCAGCCTTTAGGCTTAGAAGCTCTGGCTAAGACTTCAACAGCTTCAACGCTTGGACTGTGTAGTTTGAGGCTGAATTGTGACTTTTTAGCAGCTAGAGAGGTCAGTAAGGACATGTTCTTAATTGTGATGGAGTATAGCATGATGATGCATTAGTTTTGTTTTTTAGGCTTTTTTTAAATTTACTACTGCTTCAGGTGTTGTCACAGAGGTAGTCTCCCCCCTCCCTGCTTGCCACTACCCCAGTGTCTCCTCACTCAGCTGCTGACAGAAGTCTGCCCCCTGCTGAGGCTGCATCCTGTCCCACTGGCCAAGCGCTGGATTCGCCACATGCAGGCTGCACTCCTGTCGCTCCCTTCCCTATCTCCGTGGGCGCTGCACGGTCCCGCTCCCATGATCTGTGCCTGCCAGAGAAAAAGGTTATGCTCCTTGTGAGGAGACAGCTTTGAGGGGGTGGAGCCTGTTACCATGGTATTCCAATGCAGAGTATTGGGTTACCTGGACAACTAAAACGTGCCCAGCTCCTTATATAAATGCAGGAGCGGGTCCTGGGCTTCAAGTGGCTGCTCGCCCTCTGTTGGCCCTCCCTTGCCTGCTGCTGTGGACAAACATCATGGAAATCCCCCCCCCCCCACTTAACTGATTGGACCACAAGCTCCAGGAGATCCCATCTGACCTACTGCTGCTACCGGCTCCACAGCTCTCTCCACCCCAGGTTCTCCACTGCTGGCTGGTGAATTAGTTAACCCTGTTCTGCTCAGAACTCTTTGCCCTGTGTGATGGACTTAACACTTTTCTACCCGAAACCTTTGCCCAAAGACTTAAACCTCTGCGCCCTGCCTGAGTGGAGGACCTACCATTCTGCCCTGTCGACTACCGGCCCTCTACTGTCCCATATTGCCACTCTGAGAATCAGTCTTCATTGCTGTGTCTTGTGCCATTCTATGGACTAGATTTCTGTTTTCTGTACCCAGAGTTTCCCCAATAAACGCCTGCACATCGGGCTTCGTGTGATCTGCCTCCTTGTGCTCTCTCTCTCTACGCCCCTAGTTCATCACAGGTGTTAATGTAACACCCTTGTGAAATGTACGATCTCAATATGCCACACTATGGATACCTATAAAAGGTATATTATTACCAATAGCAGATCACCAGTGATGAATTAGAAAACCTTAAAACTAAATTCTAAATCTAATTTGAAAAGCCAACCAACAAGATACACACATGCTCTAGAGCAAACAGCCTTTTTCAACCAGGGTGCCCTGGCAAAATGCCTAACAATTGCCCCAAAATTGTATACAAGCCAGGGGGTAGATCAAGCTTGCCTTTTGGTTACAAAAAGTCATAGGTTTTCATTGTGCATCATTACAACCTTCTAGCCGCCGACAATCTATGATATCATCACTTGAGGACGTTGAGTGCCTGGCCAACATCCTTGTTTGCCCTTTCCCTTCCCCTCTCCGTCAGCACTGAAGCCACATTAGCAGAGAGAGGGAGAGAAACTGAGGTAGGATAGAAACATAGCAGTACTAGTCATTACCAGTGTGCAAAAGTGTATTGGAAAAAGAAATAGTCGCCAACATAAGGTGTCCTACACGTGTGGATGGTGCTGCGTTATGTAAAACTATTACTTTAATTTTTTACATTTTGGAAAGGGCTGGCTAGAGACAGTGGATAATTTTAAGGGGTGTCTTTACTGAAAAAGGTTGAGAAACACTGCTCTAGGACATTCTCTTACGCTTATTCAGTCATGTATATCAATGCAAGAGCATTTGAGTAGTAGTAACAAAAAGGTTTTTGTGATCTCAGACAGGCATTCTCCATCTTTATACAGTGGGGAAAATAATTCTTTGATCCCTTGCAGATTTTGCAAGTTTGCTCACTTACAAAGAAATGAAGGGTATATAAATTTTTACCATAGGTGCATTTTAAATGATAGAGAGAGTATCAACCAAAAATCCAGAAAAAAACAACTATGTAAATGGTATAAAATTTTGTTGCAGTTCAGTGAGTAAAATAAGTATTTTATCCCCTACCAAACAACAATAATTCTGGCTACCACAGACTAGCTATGTGCTCATGTGGTACACATTTTTCCCACTGTATCTCAAGGGAAGGAAGGTAACTAAGCACAATCAAGAAATAATGCATAGCAAAAAAAAAAGATAAGAAAAATATCAAAAAGGTGCAAGTCCGGCCAAAACTTCTTTTTTTTTGGGCCAGAGTGGGGTAGGAATCTACTGGGTTTTATGTTTATCCAGGGTTTCTTTAGGGCCCTCTTCCTCTTCTGAGTTATTGTCTGCACTGGCAATTCTTCTGCCCTTCTCACTTCCTTACTATACTAGAGAGTATCAGTAGATCAGTAGAGATAAGGACTTCTTTACTCACCTAAATGTGCTTTTTTTCCTTTGCGACCATAACATTGCCAATGTAATATATAAAATCGGCAGTGCTGTAACACAATGGATGCTTGCACCGGTATAACTTTGAAATAAAGTAACTGTATGGGCCAACTTCAATTAAACTATATTCTGGACAAGTTATGGAGGAAACCAGTGTCCCACAGGTGTTAAAAAGAAAAAAAAAAAAAAAAAAGAGAAGAAAAGCAAACATCTAAGAGCATGCAACAATGTCCACAAAGATAATATGAACACTTACAATGTGAACACCCATGGGACAGTAACTTACATATATAGTTAGTCTGGCTGAAAAAAATACAACAAAAATACAAAAGTCCATCCAGTTCAACCATAAAAAAAAAAAAAAAAAAAAAAAAAAAAAAAAAAAGAAGGAGTTATAATCCTATACCCACAGTTGATCCAGAGGAAGGCAAAAAACCCCAGCAAAGCAAGATCCAATTTGCTCCTGCAGGGAGATTTACTCCGCAAACTGTCCAGAACATAGTCAACTGAAGTTAGGAATGCTGTGACTTACTACAGCTACTTTGGATACGTTGTTTCACAGTTACCCTCCAACGTTTGCAATACTTGTGTTACAGAGCTATCGATACATATTCTAATTTTGTATCTCTACTCAAAAGGGGCTTTTATAGGTAAAATAGACATGCCTAAAAAATTAATATAATCTTATGGGAGGATTCTTCCTGAAATAAATGGCTTAGCAACACAGTTTCTAAATCTTCAAGAATATACTTACACAGGTATCTTGGGTAGTAGATTTTAAAACAGTTGATTACAAAACGTACAAAATCCATATCCTAAAATGAATAAAAGAGAAATATGTTTGTTAGCTACCCTGTGCAAAAGAATGAGTTTTTTTTAAAAACAAAATTCAATCTGATAGAGATCTAACCTGGTCTGTGCATTTTCCAAACAGATCTTCTACAACTAAACACATACCTCCAAACTCCACTAGATCCATGCAGGTGTGAGTGTTACAAGTGTTACAAAGCTCAACAAAAGATGGATATGGAGAAAAGGAAATGGGAGTAAGCACACTGCAAATGCATCTTCACAAAATGTCTTACTGCTAGTGGGACTGCAAAATCAGCATATAAAATTGATGTATATGGAAATCTATGGCCCATGTAAAGACACGTGGAAACAAACACAACACCTCCTGTGCTCAGGGACCCAGATCAGAAGTGGGCTGATGGAACAATATATGAAAGTTTGTCCAAAAACCGATCAAAAGGTTGTGCAGTTCAAGCATGAGGCTGGGTAAGCCCGATACAAACTGTAGTAAAGAACAAAAATAAAAAGCACACCAACCTTGCACATTACCTCAGTAAGCAAATGGTTAATTTATCAAATTAAGAAGTATGCTCACAAAAAAGTAGCAACATATAAGGCATATAAAATCCAAAATTGAAGCACTGGAATAGAAGACACCAATCGAGAGGGGAGACTCTCAGGGAAACTCTCAGGGAAAACTGACGCGTTTCGAAGGGGGATCCCTTTTTCCTCTTCTGATGATTCAAGACTGGTTTGAGGAACGCAAAAAATGAGCTTGAGGTGTTGACTTGGCCTCCAAATTCTCCAGATCACAAATCAGTCAAGCATCTGTGGGATGTGCTCTACAAACAAGTCTAAGTCATGGAGGTCATACCTCGGAACTTACAAGACTTAAAAGTTCTTACTGATAGCTTGGTGCCAGATACCACAGTATAACGTCAGAGGTCTAGGGAGGTCCAGGCCTCAACGGATTGGGGCTGCTATGGTGACAATAGATGGACCGACTCAATATTAGGTAGATGGTCACAGTTATGGCTGATGGGTGCAGACCAGCCTTCCTCAACCAGCGTGCCTTGAGGTTTCTTCAAGGGTGCCTTTTCAAAATGTCTAAAAATTGCCCACAACTTGTATACAAGCCAGCGGGTGGAACAAGCCTACATTTTAGTTACACAAAGCCACAGGTTTTTATTGTGCACCGTTACTACCTTCTAGCCACCAGTGTCCTGACAACCAATGACATCAGTTGATAAGGAGGATGTCATTTGCCTGCACAGCATCCTAGTTTGACCCTCCCCTGACCCTCTCTATCAGAGGGAGAAGAGAAACATTGGAATACTGCTCAGTACCAGTGTGCAAAAGTGCATTTGCTTTGGAAAAATAAATAACCTCTAATGTTGGGTGTCCCACGTGTGTGGATGTTGCTGCATTATATAAAACTATCAGTTTTTTTTCCACATTTTAGAATGCAATGCCCTTTTAAAATGGAGTCTTGGGGAATCCCATTTTAGAATGGGGTGCCTCAAGACTGTCCATAATTTTAAAGGGTGCCTCGGGAATGCCCATAATTTTAAAGGGTGCCTCGGGAATGCCCATAATTTTAAAGGGTGCCTTTACTGAAAAAGGTTGAGAAACACTGGTGTAGACTGTAGATGCCTAATCCGAAGAGTTCAGCTATAATCTAAATGTATGCAACATGTCCTGCAGGCCAAGTGGCAAAGTAGATGCAGCACTAGACTACAACTATCATCAGGGACACGATCAGCATTGATTTGTATGCCCTGTCCTGCCTACGTAGTTTAAGAAGGTTGGGGGGGGGGGGGGGTGAAGGACGTCCGGATCAACAAGAGTGTGTGTGTGTGTGTGTGTGTGTGTGTGTTTATTTTCTACCAACCCCCCACACCCTGTAAACGCGGCTTCCACTGGAGGGAATTACACATTTTAAAATAAACCCTTCTCTAACAGTAAAGAAGCCTTTCTGCAATCTACGGTTAAACTCTATTTAACATTAAATCCAGGCCACGTCTTCTTGAAGAACCTTAAACAGTATATTGCAGTTCCTGAAATCACCTTTAATATTTTTGTGCATTGTAATCACATCCCTGTAATCGATCTTCATATCCGAGGTCCTCCTATTCCCTTAATTTGGTGACCAAAACTGAACTTCATATTCACATATACGCACAAGTTTTAATTTTGTTCTTTATGCGCGTTACCCTAATTTAACACAATGACCAATGCACTTTAATTCATCTTTAAAGCGATAGTAAACCACAAAAGGAAAAAAAAAAAAAAAAAAAAAACACACAAGGCCCCCTATAGGTTTAAGTCATAATGTACTAGTATGCACTGCATACTAGCACATTATGACAGACTTATGCGCACATGGAGCCCTCTAGCACAGCGCTGTCACGACTCTGGGGCGCTTCTATCTACACTCGGTCTTCCTTCCAGGTTCATGGACTCTGGCTGAATGAATGGCCCAGGGCTACGATGGCATCACTCTCAAGCATGTGCACAGGAGCCCTGGCCGTCCCTTCAGAGCCCATGGACCGGAGACGTCACCGAATGCATACCACGTGAGTATCTCCTAAACATTGCAAGTGTGGGAGATATTCACTGTACAATAATAAGGCTTACCTGTAGGAACAAGTTAAAAACTGGACTTTATTTGTACTTTAAAAACATTCCCAATTGCCTTGCGTACTCTTTGTTGCAAATATCTGATCCCACTGAGTATCATGCAGTAAGGATCTCAGCTTATTTAAATTAGCTTTTTTGAAATGTAGCATTCTTGTCACACCAACATGCTTCTCTTTCATGCAACTAATGGAACCTGTGATTACACTGTGATCACTATTACCCAAGTTGTCTCTAACTTGCGCATCTGTAATAAGCTCGGTTTCATTTGAAATGAATAGATCCAACAGATCATTAATCCTTATTGGGGCTTCCACCACCTGTTCCATGAAATCGTTGTCTGGCAATACATTTAAGGAAATGGCAAACCTTTGTTGACTGTGCAGTTCCATTTGACCAATCAATTTCAAGATAATTAAAAATCACCCAAATTAATATCACCCTGCTTTACAAACATTTTAATCTGTGAAAGGAGCTTGGACTTCTCCTCATCCTTTATGTAAGGAACCCTATATCATGTTCCAACAAGTAATCTAATATTTGCTGCACTCTTATGGAGCTCCAACCATTATGACTGTGCACCATCACAGTTCTAGGACTATGCAGTCCAATAAGCACCAGTTTGATACTGCACTTTGTCATACAGATACACCCACTTCCTTCCTAAACCAGTACTAGTAGGCAAAAGGAAGCTTGTCAGGAGTGTGGCTGTTCTTCACCAATGCCAGCATAGCAAAACTAGAGTAGGAGGAAGGTCATGGCATTTCCATGCAAAGTTCAGTTAAAAACAAAACATAAAATGACACAGGAATTTAAAGTGAGTCAAGATCTAAGCTCAGTGAGGTTTTAAAACAGATTTACATAATTCAGTGCCCCTTAGGACTCATTCACAAGTCTGTCAATACCATATGTTTATGGAACCGCACAGTGTTCACACAGGAGCGGTAGCATTGTGTCTTGTTGTGCTGTTAAAAAATTAAGCAACATGTCACTTTCACAAGGTATTGACGCCTGTCAGCTGACTCCATTGATTTAAACGTTAATGATCTCTAACCACAACTTAAAAGCGCCTATAGCATTTATGGTGTGTTAGTGAACCATATATAAAGTGTTAACTGGGCACTGGGGGAGAAACAGTGGAGGCCCCAGTATCCCAGAAAGCACTGGGAAATAAAGTTGTGCTCAAAAGTTTGCAAACTTTTGATGAATTGGTAATATACAGTACCTTATTTAAAGTAAACATGAGTGAGCAGGCAACACATTTCTTTTGTTTCTTATGGGATTCATATTTAACTGTAGGTCATAACAGAATGGCACAATCATAAAACAAAACATGGCAACAAGTGAACATATGAAATGACCCCTGTTCAAAATTCTGCATACCCTTAGTTCTTAATACTGTGTATTGCCACCTTTAGCATCAATGACAGAGTGCAGTCTTTTGTGTAAGTTGCCTGAGTCCCCAAATTCTTTCATGTGGTATAGCTGCCCATTTGTCTTGGCAAAATGCCTCTAGGTCATGCAAAGTCTTTGGTCGTCTTACATGAACCGCATGTCTGAGTTCTCCCCAGAGTTGCTCGATGATGTTAAGGTCAGGAGACTGTGATGGCCACTTCAGAAAATCCAACTTTTTCTGCTGTAACTACATGAGGTTCAACTTGGCTTTGTGCCTAGGGTCATTGTTGTACTTTAAAAACCAAGAGCATCCCATGTACAACTTCTGTGCAGAAGAATGCTAATTGGTTGCCATTATTTTCTGATAAGATGCTGCATTCATCTTGCCATCAATTTTCCTGTGCCTTTAGAACTCCCCCCCCCCCAAACATCAGTTGGCCATCTCTATGCTTCACAGTGGGGATGGTATTCTTGTCACCATTTGTCTCATTGATCCCTCTCCAAACATCGCTCCTATGGTTTTGACCATAAAGCTCCATTTTGATCTCATCTTTCCAGATTACAGTGTGCCTCAAGCTGTGAGGCGTGTCAAGATGTTGTCAGGCATATTGTAACAGGGCTTTTTTGTGGCATGGGCACAGTAAAGGCTTCTTTCTGGCAACTCAACCATGCAGCTCATATTTGTTCAAGTATTGTCATATTGTGCTCCTTTAAACAAATCACTGTCTTTTTCCAGAGCAGCCTGTATTTCTCCTGGGTTACCTGTGGGTTTTTCTTTGCATCCCAAACAATTGTTGTGGCAATTGTGGCTGCAATATTTCTTGGTCTACATGACATTGGCTTAGTATCAAGAGATCTCCAAATTTTCCACTTCCTAATAAGTGATTGAACAGTACTGACTGGCATATTCAACACTTTGGATTTCTTTTTATATCCTTTTCCATCTTTATAAAGTTCCATTACCTTGTTACACAGGTTTTTTATGCTCTTT